ATGTGTGAGGAATCCAGGGCATCCCCAGAGCTCAGAAATGACAATAATTTGGAGGCACAATCAGGAGTTATGTTCAAAATGCCTGTTTTTTAATAAGTTGTCTTTAAATGCTTCAATCTATTTTTAATAGAGATTGTTTTGTGCTGTATCAGTGCAGTATATAAATTGGGGTTTTTACCATTTCAGGAGCCTTTACAGAGAAATACTGTTTCTTTCACTTGTTGCCCTGGGAAGAGATAACATTGATATAGGTGAGTTCTGCCAACTATTCAAATGAGCACAGATGATGCATTTATGCTAACTTAGTTGTACAGCTTCCAGAAAAAAATAATCTGTAGATTAGGTGTGCCACTCTGTGATAAGTGCCAAATAAAAAGGACTTTACAGATACTTTGTGCTGATAAATGCAGCTGTTGTGGCATTTGGGTGGTGTTTTTGAGCTTGCTATCTGAAGTTGTTTTTCCCTTGCTGCAGATGCTTTTGACAGAGAGTACAAAATGGCCTACGATCGTCTCACCGCTAATCAGGTGAAGAACACGCATAACTGCGACAGACCACCCAGCACTGGAGTGATGGAATGCAGAAAGATTTTTGGAGAACCATATCTTTAAATGTACCTGGCTAAAGAGGTGATATCTATGACGTATCCCTGTGTAAAATAACCACTTCAGTCACAAGGAACATCTCAGTCTTCAGTGTTCAGGAATGTGCGTGCGATGGACTGTGGCACGAGGCCTCGGGAAATTTGGCCTGGCTGCGGTTGTGGAGATGGACAGAGAGCAAAATGGGCCAAATATTATTTCCCTGTCCCTTGTCCTTTCTGCAAATTGGTGTGTGGAGAGGCAGGTTATAAACAAAATCAGTTCTCTGACTTGGGACGAAATATTACAGCTCCCTTTAAAAAAAAAAAAGATTAAGTAACAGGTGGACAGAAACAATGCACTGAAACTAATGTGAGCGAAGGAAATTCTTCAGAATCTATTGTTTACATAGAATATTCATGATGTTATGAAGAGCATACAAAGTTGTATTATACATATTTTAAATTGTTTATAGTAAGTTGATATTTTTTTAATTTTTTTAAATTACTGGAGTGAATTTTAAATGGACTTGCTGCAGAAGCAATACAGTGCTTATTTTTTTTGCAGTACACTGCTATTTATAGTAACTTGTCCAGTTACTTTTTGAAGAGTGATTTGTTTTTAAAGCAGAATAGAAAATGTTAACCTTCACCTAGACAGTACTGGAGATCCAGGATTTCTCTCATGCACACTTGGAAAACGTGTTACCACAGCAATCAGAAGGAAGGTATGGTAAATTTTGCAAAACTCTAACAAATACACTGATGTCTCTGTGAAACACTTCTGTAGAAATCTCCTCTTCCTCTCGTGTTCCCTTCCCTCCCCACTGCCTAGGAAAGGGAAACCACATTAAAGAGTCCTATGGATTTTATGGAATCAGCCGATCTCAGCTGTTGGCCTTTGTTAGTGTGGCTCTTTCCAGATGAGACCTGGAGCAAATGCCAGCCTGCAGTGAGTTCTCCATGAGCACGCAGCACTCGGAGTCTCAGAGGTTGTGTTTGAAGCACTCAGTACAGCACCACATAATGCCCATCCAAAGCTGCTAACTCAAGTACATCCAGCAAACTTGCTACAGGGAATTATAGGGAATGTAACTTACTGGGGCATATTGTGCTTAGTTAAACATACTTGGAATGTTCTGTCTCTATTTCACAGGCAAAACAACTTTTTGTTTTCTCTGAAGAAAACTGCTATATCAGTCCTTGTGGTGGAGTCATGGCTTTTGCCTCATGTTTTCTTGTTCTAGACATTTACAAAATGTTCTGTGCTCTCAGTCACATAGCAACTCCTCACCAGAAGGTAGGCTACAGGGAAAATATCAGAAGTCTTGCATGGAGGTGGGAAAACAGACATCGAACTGTACAAAACACCCTAAACAAATTTAAATCATGCTTTAACAAATAGCTTTATTTTAAGTAATCCTAATTATTTTCCACTTCTAATTTTAGTTGTTGCTGTTATAATACTTCCAAATATTCAGCTGTTACATTAGATTTTATATTGCAGTCTCCCTACCAGTAGGTGTTTTTAAAAACATCTTTAAAAACATCTTTAGTTTGCAAGTATAATAAACCAGCAATACTTAGGCAGAAAGGTGATAAACTTTAAAGCTCACATTTACTTTATTAAGTGAAATAGAGCAAGCCTTAGAGGCTTAAATGAAAAGTAATGCTGCTATGAAGCTCTGTAACCTCCTCCCAGACCTCTGTAAAGTTGTTAGAAGAAGCTGCCCTAAGAAGAAAGGGTTTCAAACCTGTAGAGCTGCAGGTATGTGCTGATGATAATTGCAGGATGTAGTCTTGGATACAGCTTCCATCGGGTAATGCCTCTTCTCTAATGTGCTGCTAATTATGTAGGTGACCTTCTTGAACGTATCCCCCCACCTGAGGTGGAGCTAGCAATGCTACACTTACAACATCTTTCACATTTAATTTATTTTAACAATTTATGATGCTCTTTTTGTACCGCCACGCTTGTACAGTATCCTTGTGCATGAAATGAAGCTCCTTTTTTCACCCAGGTACAAGGTAGAGATATCCTCTTCATTCCTCTGAACTATTGTGAAATAAACAGGCTATTTTTGAACACATTCCCTGTAAGTACCCCTTAGTGTGCATGGCTGCTCTGTACAGTAGGAATGCTGCATTACCATGGAAATCTTGCCTCCAGTAGTTGCTGTACTTAAGCTCATAGCTGGGTGTGCTGTGGGAAGGTTGTGTTCCCAGCTCCCTGCGGTTCTGTTTCCCATTTGCCACTGGGGCAGCCACTGTTCCATAGGACCTTCAAGCCATGAAAGGAGAGAGAGCCAGTGCTTTTTCCAGAGCTGCCGTGGGGTGTTAGAGGGGCTGAGCTATGACCCAGCTTCCCACTCCCGTTCCGGGGTGGCCGAAGAGCCGAGCCCGGTCCCCATCCCCAGGACATGGCACAGGTGTGGGGACAGCACTGTCACACGTGGCCCTTCCTCCATCCTCGTCCCAGCCTCCTTGTAAGGACTCCAACTGCCTTCAGACTTATAACCCAACCAGTTTTACTTCTTTCCAGCATCCCCCAGCACTGTCAGGGAGTGGATGCTGCCCTGGGAGCAGGGCTGTCCGTGCAGCCTTCACACAGTCCCTGGGTCCTGCATCCCTGCCACGTCTCTCCTCAAGTGCTGCCAATGTTCATTTGGGTGTGCTTTTAAATTATGCTATCATGTAGTAGCTCACCAAGTGAAATCATCATACTTAATGAATTGTTTTACAAAGTCTGTTGCAAGTCAGTCCACTGTAGAAATATATAAAAACAGAGTCAGAATAACAACATACTGTAAGTGGGAAATTCTCCTCATTCGAGTCACAATGTTCCAAACATATCCTGAGGTCGATAATTTCTAGAGCATCGTACAATTCAGTGTTGAAACAGTTTTCAAATCTCACTTTCCTTTATTAGAAAAGCAATTTGACTATATTTTCCAATACCACAAAGATGAATAAATAAAATATTTGAGACATATTTTCAATTTAAAATTTTGTATGAACTGAATTTTCTCCTTTTGTGTACTAAATAAGGCTTATGTCCAAAACCTGAAACAAAGGTTTTACATTTGCAGTGCAATATATATTTTGCTTTACTTATGGTTCCACTGGAATAATTATTGGAGATGAAATACTGAAATGTGAATAGAAATTGTGCTGTTTCTCTGACACTGCTGTGTCCCATTTGAGAAGTCTTGCTGTTGGTACAGTTACAGCCTGATGAATTTGACTTCCACTGGCAAATTAAATGATTTGTATCCCAAGAAAGAAAATTCCTGCATGTAAAATCTTAGTGTAACAAATGGGAGATGCAAATAGTAATAATAGAGAGGGGTATTTCTGGATATTATCTCACTGGGATTTAAAAATGGTACTTTGTTAGTCTGCAAGCAGCACTTTTTAAATGAATGGTTGTAGATTTGTAAATATGTAATGTTTAAATTTTATTTACCAAAAACCAGTATGTTGGATGTTTGCTTTGGTTTGTAGTTCCTTTAAAATATGCAAAGTCCATGTTCACAATGTTAAGGTTTTTTTCTGTCTCATCCCAAAAAAAAGACGTTTTACAGTGAGTCAATAAAAAGCTTAAAATCTTTCTGGTTATTTTCATTAACGTTTTATTAGATTGATGAGAGTGGCAGAAATGTCTGCAACTCTTAACCACATTGTGTGCTCCCATGAGGTGTTAACAATAAACCTCTCAGGTTTGGTGATGTCAGTGGCATTTTTTCATCTTGTCTGTGTAGAAGTCAGTGTTAACAAGAAGAATTAGTGCTGGTTAAATAATCTGTAACTGTCAGAGATTAGTGTCAGGATGAAAACAAACCCCCAGCATTCAGCTCCTTGTTGTATTTGATTCCTGGCTTTAGTTTTGATTGGAAGTAATGTGCTGTTCTAACCCCTGAGCCTTTTAGTCTTTTTGCAGCAAGATGCAAACCCAGGTGACATCACACCTGTACCTGTGGCATTTACAGGAGTTTTAGGCACTGCATTGCAAGATCAGGTACAGATCTGAAAGGAGCTCAGTGCAGTTTGGGGGAGTTCTCTGCTGAACTTAAAATCCACACAGGCATTTTAAGCAGAGCAGTTCCATAAAGGCCCAGCCGCATCAGTCTGATTCTCTTCCCACTGAAGTAAAATTCATTGATTTCAGGGAGTTTGAGCAGTTCACTGACTAATTTAGAGCATGTTCCTGAAAATTTCCTATCATGAGTAAATACGATGTGGTGAAAATCAGCTCCTTTAACTTGAGAGGATCAGCCATAGTGAAAATTTGATGTGTCTAAATTGTTTCAGCTTTTCCACAAGTGCCTAAGTGTGTGTTATTTAATATTGGTCATTTAATATTGTTCTGATCCTAAAGAAAAACAGTAGAGGCTGACACATCAGTTAAGATTGATTTATTTTTAGCATGTTAAAGGAATCTTATTTTCAGTAAGTTTGTTACAATTCTGGTTGCTTTTTTTCAGTAGAACAACTGCTACCTCAGCCCCCTTTTGATGTTGCTGGATCCTCACAGACATCTTGAAGTGCCCACATGTCATACAGACACTGGGCAGGATATTATCTTGTCCTCTAACATCACACTGATGATCAGGAACACAAAGTAAAGAGCAAACATGGTGAGCCCCAGTAATTTGTTCATTTTCCATTTACAGACAGCAATAGAGATAATCACAAACAGGAGCATGAGGAAAAGGAGAACAATTGCACAAAACAAACCATTGCTGCTGACTGCCACAGGGCTGAGGCCATTGAAGATAGAAAAAAGGAACCAGGGAACTGGTAGGCTGCAAGGAAGGGAAAAGTAATTGAAATAAATGTTTAAAGCAGTTCATTATCTGCATCATAACTAAGCAATTTTTCCAAACTGTTACAGGGGAAAAAAATGCATTATGGTATTCAATATAGCTCAGCATAAATCTAAATTGGGTGTTTTTCCTGTCAAAACTACATTTTGATAATGCTTGTACTATCATAATGCAATCCAAGAGTAAAATGGTTTGAAAATAATACCTAAGAATGAAGTGCCTTGGTGAGTTATAATAAAGAAATGTCCTGATGCTTGAGGATGGGAGATCCAGGCACTGATACTGACCTTCCCCAGGAGCTGAATGTCTGAGTGACCAGATAAGGCTCCTGCCTGTATAGCTTGGACATTAGCCAAAGATGTCTTGCATTTTTGTCTTGAAAAATTGGTAATTTTGTGTGAATTGGGTGAAGACAGTGGGCTGAGTGGTAACAGCTTGTCTTTCCTGGCTGGGTTTGGATTTGGGTTGGGTTTCTTCAAAAGGAACTGGTTGTTCAGCTGCCCTTCACTTAACTACAGCTAAAATGAAATGAACTGAGGCATGTTTGGTTTTAAACCAGGTAACTTTGTGTTTCAGAAGAAATGCAGCTCTTAGCATGGCCTGGTACTCACCCAACAGTGATGTCAAAGATGTTGCTGCCCACGGAGCTGGACACAGCCATGTCCCCCAGGCCCTTCCGGGCCACGATGACACTGGTGATCAGGTCAGGGATGGATGTGCCTGCTGCCAGTATGGTTAACCCCATAATCTCCTCTGAAATGCCAATGGTTTCACCAACCTAATCAACACAACGTTGGGTAGGGCTGTTAGCAGTGGAACATGGAGTGTAATTGCTCTGTGCAGTCTTAGGGTTTGTGCCGTACTTGAGTTAAAATATTCCAAGTTCTGTGAACGTGGCAGCATTTTCCTGCTTTATAGGATTAATAAGTTCCATTTTATTGTGTCTGTTGATTCTGGATTTGCTCTGTAGTGTAGGAAATCTGACCACATTGATGCCAGCACTGAGCCAATTTTCCTGTCCTCAGTCCTCCTCTTCTGGATCTTGTCTACCTTTGCAAATTGAACATCAGCTGTGCAAGATCTGAGGGCCTTTGCAGATGACAGTCCTTGGATTTATGGCATGATCAGATCTACTGTGCATGTGCAATGTATCACTCAATACAGACTGGGGGGCTGTTCCTACAAGATGGAAGTATTATTTCCCAGAATACAAGGTGAACATTAAGATGGGGGAGGGAAGAACATTTAGCAGCTTCCAGAATCAGAACCTATATTTTCCTAGAATTTTAATTAGGTAATGGATAATTATGTTCTGCACAGAAGCATTCATTAATGAAAAGTCACAATTAAGATAAATCTTGATGGTATCTTTCACTGATGCACAAACTCCCTTGCAAGCTTTCAGAAATGAATGAATCTTTGTCAAATCAAAAAAAAAAAAGGACATCAAAAATTCCCTTTTGGGTTCTAACAAAACAAAGTTTCTACTGTTGTGATGGATGACTGCAGCTGTAATTCATCAGATAAAATGCCACAGTAACACTGTCCCCTCTCTCCATCTACTTGTTCTGAAATGGGGATTTGCAGAAAGAACAAAACCTCTCACCTGGTGAGCCCACCACACCATGAGATAAGAGAATGCAGCAATCCAGAGGATGGATCCAAAAAATGTGATGACAAAGAATTTTTTTGATTCCTGTTGAAATCAAGTTTGAAAAGAAAAAAGAGAAGTTTCAGGGAAGTTAATAGTTCCCATTGAAAACTATTCACCTGAAACACTTCACTGCAATTGATTGCTTTAACTTGGACCCTGGTCTCTGTTTGCTGTTTTTCAGCTTGATTAGGTGACCTGTAGTTGCTAGAATTTGTGGTTTATTAAATTAAGTCTCTGGAATGACATTACACTGCAGCTGGGGCTCCTGTCCCACTCCCTGCAGCAGTAACAGCCTTTCAGCTATGCAAAGACTCCAGACATGGAAAAATGGACCCAGGGACTCTGGCCCAGAGGAAATCTATAGCTCAGTTCATGACTCCAGGAGCAGAAGGAAGGTGGATTCTTACCGAGTTTCTGACATCAGGCAGAGTGCTCCAGAGAGGAAAGACAATGGGAAAGAGGAAAAGGTAAATTGCTTGTTTTGTCCTTGATTCTGGCCATTCCAGAGATAAGGGCTCATCATTTTCATCACTCTCTGTGCTGTCACTATCACTGTCCTCCTGGCTCTCAGAGCTGCTGTCGTCTGAGCTGTCACTGCTTGACGGGGGGGGCTGTACACAGAATAAAAAATCAAAAAGCCAATATATTTTCACACAAGGAGCAGAACAAGATGCTGCAGTTACTCACTGTGGATTCACCTGAGCAGAGCTCACATTTCTAACCTGCTGAGGGCAGCCACAGCTCTTGTGGGACAGGACCCAGGCACACCCCAATCCAGCACCTGTGTATTGTTAACTAATGGGCACCCATTAACTAGAACCACCTTTTAGAAACAAATATTTCATGTCCTTGAAAAAAACTTTTTTTCATTGGAACTGCCAAATCACCCAAAAGGGATTTGGGGAGCAAAACAGAACAGTCTGCTGGTGAGCACAGGACAGGCAGCTGCTCTTATCTCTCCTTACCCTGGAGTACCCTCAGAAGAGTCACTTGAGGGGTCAATACTATCCAGTATCACTTGGTGTCATAATTTGGACCCCATTTGTGTTTGTAAGCCAAGGTGTTTCAGCCAGCATCTTGGATTACTACACACAGAACCTATTTATAGATGGCAATGACATGGGTTGGGTCCTGTCCCAACAGCTCTGGAGAGGGAAGAAGGAAAGTACACGTGAAGGTCAGCCTGGGTGGGCACTCAGTGCCTGTGCTCCTGATTTGGGTACCTGTCCATCCTGTGGCACATCTGCCTTCCGTGTGTCTTTGCTGGGCTCAGAGTCACTGGCAGGAGTTACCTGGACGTTGCTTGGTGCTTTCTTTCCCTCTTCTGCAAAAGCAGTAAGAAGAAATGCTGGTTTCAGTCATCCTGGATGAGTGGCCACCATATCAGGGCATCACCTTCCCTGTGACCAGCAGGGGGTCTGAGCTCCCTCCCACAGTGGTGGCATTTCAGGTTAAGTACCCTCAGATTGCTTTGGTTTGCTGTGTGTCCTGCCTGACTGCTGTGATTGTGTTTGGTAAATCTGGGCAGAATTTGGCCTACCTGGAATAGAATGAGACCTTGGTGCTTCTCTGACCTTCCAGGCAGAACTGCTGTAAGGGGCAGGAAAATGCTCATTACCTCATCTACAGCTGATGGGCATTTCTTGGTTTCTTTCTGAATACTGAAGATTGTATTAAAACCATCCTTAAAATCCAGAAAGGAGGTAAAGCTTTGCTCCTCAGGTTTCCCCCCCAGCTCCCCCCTCCCTCCGTAGAGCACAGCATTCTCCAGGGACCTGATACTCTTCAAGGCTTCTGAGAAATGACCAGGATGTGCTGCCAGACTTTAATCCCTGATCTTTTGGTGGGTATTCAAAAGCAAATAAGAAAGTGCTGACACATACAAGGAAATAACTGCAATGTCCTGCTGTTCCTGCATTAACCTGCATAGCCAAGAGGAACACGGAAACCTCTGTGGGAACAGCAGAAATATGGATAACACGGAGCAGGGGTGAGGGAGTGAAGTCAGTGTGGTATTTATAGCACACACCAAGAATTTACTTGGGTTTTAAACTGTTTTTTTCAAGTTTGGGCTCATTCACCTCCGTGAGTTGCTCAGGTGCCTGGGTGTGGAGCTGGGACCTTCCAAAACCAAGTTTCTTGGTGTTCAAAATCTTCAGCCTTGCTGGCAGCACAAATCTGTGTTGTAGCACAGGTCAGCTCTGGCTCCAAGGCAGCTTTTGTGTCAGGAGTGACTGACAGAGGGCAGATCTAGGTTAAATGTTAGATTAGAAATGCTTCCCTGTGAGGGTGGTTGCCCAGAGAAGCTGTGGCTGCTCCATCCCTGGAAGTGTCCAAGGCCAGGTTGGACAGGGCTTAGAGCAGCCTGGGATGGTGGAAGGTGTCCCTGCCCATGGCAGGAGGTGGAATGGGATGGTCTCTAAGCCCTAAGCATTGTATGATTCTGTGATTCTGTTAAAGGAGGGGTACACAGGTCCTTGGAATTGATACAGACACAGTGTAGATTATTCCCTCTGGAGGAACCTTCTGTGTCCTTCTGCAAGCATGTGAAGCTACTTTCTTTTAACAAACACCTCATTTGCAGGGTCTGCCAAAGACCAGCAGCACCCAAGTGCTATCTGCAGTGCCCTGATTTCCCTCCTGCACTGTTCCATGGCCATTTGCAGTCCACCCTTGCAGCTCTCCCTGCCCTGCCTCACTAACAGCTCCTCTGGGGATGGCTGCTCCTGCCCGTGTGCATCGATCGATTCCTGCTGCATTGTTAGAGCAGCCATCTGTGCCCAGAAACAGCACAAAATTTGTGTTACACCCCAGAGTTTCCTTGCCTGCCCTTGGGCTTTGCGTGCTGGGAAGGTGAGGGCTTGCAGTGCAAAACAAGGCAAACAGTGCTGGCTCTTCCTGCACTCACCTGGCTGGGAGCCTTGTCCTTCCAGGGTCTCAGCCTTGGCCTTGGCCAATTTGCTCAGGGTGTCAACCCTGTCTTTAAATTTTGCTGTGGGTGAGAAGGACACGATCATCAGGGGCTGTCACTGCAAAGCCCCCCTGGCCCTGCCTCCCCAACACACACGTGCTCTTGCCCCCTTCCTCCTGCAGGTGCTGCAGCCAGTGCTGCCCCAGGGGTTGTTCTAGCTGTGACCTCAGGTTTTGGCTGCTGCTCGTTGGTCATAGCTGTTGTATTTAACTGCTTGGTGCTACAGCAATTACACCAGCAATTTGACAGAACTATTTAAGGAGAATCTAGAGTGATGCCTAAAGTTTTAGCTTTTATATTTTCCAGATTCTGTACTGCATTAGTACATAACTCTGAACCTCATTCAGAGTGTTAGCAAGTTCTCCTCACAGTTCAGTCAGACAACAATCCTTTTCCAGCCCCAGAACCAAGGACACCATTGCAGCTTCAGGCCCAAAAAGTGCAAACAGCAAATTGAGGAGAGCAATCTGGGAGGATGGGACTGCATAACCTGGAGCTGGAATTGGATAATTAACCCCAATATGGAAATGGACCAAAACTTGTACAAGTGTGAAAATGTGTGACCTGCTGTCCATCGTGGGTGTAGCCTCAGCCAGGCTCTTGTACTGCCCAAGGTGTATCCTTTGAAGCCTTTTAATAAATCCCCACTTTATTCCTTTAACACTGTCTAGCCTCTGTTCTAGCCAGCCTCTCAAGGCATCAAGAGGAATGAGAAATTCTTTTCAGGTCCGTAATACAAAGGATATCTGTACTTTATAGGAATAAAATGCAGAAAGAACAGAGGGGGAGTTTCAGTGCAATATCATCGTGTTCACAATGGACTATTGATTTTTTTCCTAGGCTAGATTATGAGCAAACTAAAAATCACACCTTCCTCCTGCCATGTGGCTGTTGAAGAGGCTTTAGGGTGCTGCTTACAGCCTGGAGACCTGATGGGAATGGAAAATAAACACCTTTTATGTTCCAGTTCCCTGGAAAACGATTGATTTTTCTAAGTATACACAAGTGTCTCCTGCTGGAGCTGTTCTAAATTCCTGGTATCCAGGTTCAGCATGGTTCAGGCTGTCTGAGAGATGTTCTTCACCAGCACAGGTCTGGTGCTCTATTTCTGGGACCTCTACCACTGTGAACCAGCTCACTCAGTTGAGCTGCTTTTTTACTGATTTACAGTGAACTGTGGGACTGTGTGTCTCTATAGTTGTTTTTTACTCAAATATCTTACTGCTGACTCTCAGTGAAAGTTAACAAGAATGGGCTCAAAGAAAAGCCCCATTTTGCTCTAATCTCTGTCCTCTGTTGAGCTGCACACCCAGTGACTGAGGGTCACTGGGTTTGCACATGGGCAGTAGCCACAAGAATTGGCCAATGCTGTGTTTGGCTTGTGTGCAGGGCTGTAAAATAATTTTCTCTGAAAGTTTTATCACACTGATTTAATCTACTGTGTTGTTGATTATGCACCCAGAAGGTGCAGTTGTCATATTGCCTCAAGGGCAGGGCCCTGCCATTTTATTAATCACTGTGGCACTGAGATAATAGAAATAGCATGTCCAGCCATGTGGGCAGAACTATTGTTCTGAGCTGAACCTTGTGAAAATCAGTAAATTCTGCTGTATGTCCAATAACTGGGCCCAGCCCAGACAGGAAGACCTCAGGGGACAAGTCCTACTGTGGTGAGATTCCTGCTGCTGTCTGACAGAAACATCTTTCAGCAGCTGGGATTTCCACTGAGCACTGGAATGGTTGGAGTGAGATGAAACCATCATGGAGTACCAGACTGGTTTGGGTTGGAAGGGACCTTAAAGGCCACCCAGTCCCACCCCCCTGCCATGAGCAGGGACACCTTCCACTATCCCAGGCTGCTCCAAGCCCCATCCATCCTGGCCTTGGACACTTCCAGGGATCCAAGAGCAGTCACAGCTTCTCTGGGCACCCTGTTCCAGGACCTCACCACCCTTGCAGGTAAGAATTTCTAATCTAAATGATCATTTCTTCTCCTTTGAAAGGCTGGCGGGGCTCAAGACCCTGACTCTTCCACTCTTCCATGCTCCTTGTCAATACTGAAGGTCACTGGAGGGGATGTGAAACGTTGGCTTCCTTCCCCCTGTGCTCGTGCACAAGCACATCCCTCAGTGCAGGGATGACCTTTTGCTCCCAGTCTCCTCTAAGCACTGGGCAATGCATCCTTCTGTTTGGCTTTTCCCTGAAGCTGCTGCAGATGCTCCTGTCAGCAGGGTCAGCAGGGTCAGGCTCAGCCTGAGATTATGGAAATTCCAGCTCCTGGCTCGCTGCCCTCAGCCCGGCCCCAGGCTGGGAGCTGGGTGGAGCCGGGAGCATCTCTGTCAGGATAAACAGATTAGGCCCAGGCCACTGGCCAGTTCTCATGAGATCAGCCTCATTTAAAAGGGTGGTAATTCCTCTGGCACACAATTCCTGCCGGAGGGACTGAGACTGGAGGCAGAGCTGGCTCTAAGCTGGTCAGATCTGCAGGGCAGCACGGGGAGGAAGGATGTCCATGGGCTGTGCTGGATCAGCTGTGCAGGGCAGTGTTCCTCTCAGTCCCCTGGGCAATTCACTGCTCACAGCTCTGGCCCCAGGGCTCAGAACCCCTCACACAGGACATGTCTGTGTCCAGTGGCCCTGAGATGCTCTCCAGAAGTCTTGTCCTCTGAACTGACAGCATCCAGGATGGACTTCAAGTGGCAGCTGAGCTTCTACCTTGAATTTGGCTCTTACATTTAATTCACTCTTTGGCTGTAATATTCACTCTAACAGGACTGACAACACAATCAGCAGGGAGGATTTTTTCTTTACAGTTTGGCATGAACCTGAAGGATTTGGAGATTCTGCTGTATAAAAGTGGAGGTATAAAAAAAAGTCTTGTGATTCCTTTTCCCCCTCTGGATCTGGAATGCTAATGAAGCAAGGAGAAGCTGTAGCTGCCTTCAGCCTTCTCCAGCCTGCAACAGTGCCCACTGCTCTGGTCTAATTTTCAAAATCATTACCTTGTTAACTGAGGCATAGTGAGGGCAGACAGCTCTGACAACCTCTCTGCTGGAGCCTTTTGCTTCATTCAAAAAGAAATGTAGGCTTCTGCTTTGTTCCCTGTGTGACTAGAGTTTAAAGAATCTGGTGGTAAGGCTAGAGGTTCAGAAATGAGAGGGCTCCTGAGCATTTCCAAAATCCTCACTGCCTTTACTTCCCCAACAGTTCCCTCTGGTCTCTAATGGGATCATCTGGAAAAGATCTCATGCTCTTCTACTCATTTTCACAGGGAAAAGGACAAAAGAACAAACTTGCTAGAAAATCCTAATTTAAAAAAGGCACATTGAAGGTAAAAAGTTCTATCAAAAATATAATTCAGGATGCCATGTAAATATTAGAACTTCTAAAGTAAGCACGTCTCTCTGAGACAAAGACTTAAGTAATGATACCTTCCAATACAAAAAGAAATAACCCCACATTCTGAACTCAATCCACTCTTCAAAAGAGAAATTTTGTTTCACACAAGGGGTGTTGCAGCTTTGTGTTTCACACTTCTGCATTTCCAAGACCTCTGCCTCTGAAATTTGGGCTTGGAGGCCCAGTGCTGGCAGCTTTTCTCTGTTTTGGGCCTTGCTGCCCTGAAACCACTTCTGTGCTGCCCAAATAAAAAGCAAGGTCAGCCAAAAGAAGGAACCCCTACAGAATCCTGACTGCAGCAGGTTCAGTGAGGAACTGCTGAGCAACTGTTGGCAAATTTTTCCTTCTGTTGAGTGTTCATTTCCACAGCCTGTAAGTGCTGATGCCACAGGCCTTGGCAAGAAGGAACAAGGGCCCTTGAGGAAAGATATATTGCTTTGGGATTATCTTTTATGTGGCAGCCTAATTTCAGAAATGTGCCTGGTACAGAGAGAGCTGCACGCCCAGCAAAGGGAGGGGCAGTGTTGGTGATCCATGGGAAGCAGCACAGCTGTCCTCAGGGTCCCACAGGCTGCCGGGCTGTTAGCACAGGACTAGGAACTATGAACATATCAGAACACAAGCCCTCACATGCCTTGCAAGTTCAAATCCTTTTTCAGGTTCTTCCTTGGGATGTCATTCTATTCCTTTGGCCAAGCTCCTCAAGGCACTTAGGTTTCTCAGTCTATGCATAAATTCCTTTTCTCCAAACTCTCTTTTCTTTAGGTAGGAAGTTATCAGATTAAGGAGTATCTCCTACAAGACACACAGGATTTGACACACTGGCTCCTTGATTTTTGAGTGCTGAGCTGTTGTAATATCAGTAATTTTATTGTTATATTTTATAAGATGGTGTCTCTTTTCTCACAGCCTTGAGTGGAGCAGGCACGTAGCTGGGGCAGAGATTCCTGCTATTTCCCCAGCTATTTAGAGGTTTTGCCATTAACTCAGTGGCGTTATTAAAGTCAAGGCTCTGGTTTATAAAACCCTTCTGGAGAGGCTGTTGCAGCCCATCCCCGCACGGTACCTGCGGTATCAGACGCAGATACACACGGCCACACTCCCATCTAGTGGCTGCCGCACGCACACGGGAACTCATCCTGCAGGGCCGCCGGCACAGGCTGAGTATCAGGAAAAATTCCTGCGCCCGAAGCGTTCTCAAGCCCTGGCACAGGGAGTCACCATCCCCGAAGGGATTTAAAGGATGTGTGGATGGGGCACTTGGGGACATGCGGCCTTGGCAGTGCTGGGGGAATAGTCGGACTTGATGATCTTAAAGGTCTTTTTCAAACTAAATGATTCAGTGATTCTATGAAATGAGTAGGCAAGTTCTTTTTGAGAGAAAATCCAAACTGGTCCCCGGGTCCTGTTTATTCCATATTCACAAGGCCTGGGAGCAGCAGCCTCTTCAGCAAGGCCAGTGGAAAGCTCCCTGTTCTGGGCTGAACTGGCTGGGGCTCTCCTTGGCCTTGGCTGCCAACCTCAGTCCCCCACAGCTCTCCTGCTGGGGAGTCCCAGAGTTTCACCAGGGCACCAGCCTGGATCAGAAAGCCAAACTCGTGGTGGCCATGGGTGGGCAGATACAAACACATTTAGAGGTGTGGGAAGGATGAGAAGGTGCTGGAAGGTCTCTGAGTGGCAGCAGCCCCACAATTCTGGCACTTTCTGATGCTCAAGGCAATGGCACATCCTCTTGGAAGGTTTCAGGTTTCTAGTGCTGTTGATACAACCTTTTGGAGGCACAGGAGGCAAGGAACAAACCCTGATGAGTCTGGCTCTTGTTAGGCTACTGTTGATAACACATTGGGTGCCTTCACTGGAATCTGTGAAAGCAGACACTGATCTGCCTTGCTGTCCTCCTCCAGCCTCCTTGTTCCCTTGATCAGTTTGTGCAGCTGGGATTCTGATCTGGAGAGTCCTCTTTGTAACCTCTGCGAGGGACACGAGAGGTGTTGATCTGCTTAGCTTCAATCTCTCTTTGAATGAGCAGCAGATAATCTCTTTAGAACAAGTAGGGCAGTGGAGGGGTGGGGCATGTTCTGGGCTAGGAAAGAAAATCTTAAAGATGTTTTTTATTAATGTGCTTCACTCTTTCTTTGAAAATAAACCTCCACAGTGTGATTGGGTTAAAGTTAATATAAAGCAACACATTAAAAGGCTGTGTACAAACACCCTGGTCTGTCTGGAGATGAGGTTTCTCTGCACCCTGGGCAGTTTAAAAGAGGTCTTGGACCTGAGCTGTCATTCTCTGGCCCTGGGGAGCTGCCCATTGCCTGCACAGGGCTGTGGGCACACTGTGCCATGGTAGTGATGATTGGTGAGCTTTCAGAGGTGTCAGCCTGAATCACACAGAATTGGCCTCACCATCACGATAGGAATCTCAGCTGGGATTTTAACCACTGTCAAAAAGAGAATTCCTCAAGGGTTTTAACCTCTTTTTGTGCTGCTCTTTCAGGGCTGGGATGAGGTCTGAGCTAAGAAGAGGAAGATGGGATGTGCTATGGGACAGAGGAAGCCTGTAACATTAACTGCCACTGCAGTCAGAGAGACAGCAGAGATGAGGGATGTCACCACTTCCAGGGACCCTAGCAGCAGCAGCAGCTGCCACCACAGCAGTAACAGGAAAAGTAGACATGGCAGGACCAAAACATGAGGTGTTTGTCCTTGCCAGCCACACAATCGGAAGGGGCACATCCCACTGTCACAGAGCTCCCTGCGTCTGACACCATCTGTGACACTCAGCTGCACCCCAAGGGTGAGCTGTTAACCCCAAAATACTGGTTGTATTCCCAGTGGAACCACTCAGGGCTGTGAACCCAAGGCCCTCTGGTGTGGAGCATGCACTCACCTTCTGCCAGGGGGTCCAGGGTGTGGATCATGAGCTGGACGATGGTGCCGCGCATCTGAGAGTTGTGCAGGGAGGCCGAGCTGCTGCCCCGCTGCAGGCCTGGCCCAGGCTGTGGGAAGGCACAAAACCACTCAGTTTCAGCTTCTTTGTCCTCTACATCAGACAAGGCCTCTCCAGGCCATGGGGCAGCAATTCAACAGCAGCAGAGGAATCAGTTCCCAGTGTTTGCTATGGGAAAGGACAGACCCCGCCAGCTGCTGCTATGACAGCCCAGGAAGAAATTTGGCCATGAAACCAGGTAAGAAGAGTCACTGTTTGAATTTCTATATGACTGTTTTATAACGGAGAATGAACAGCACTCCTCTAGTTAAATCCACCTGGGAAGCCTGAGCTGTCCCTTAAATTTTATAAAAATTCCTTAAAGGACAGGATTCAGCCAGGTGTCCCCTTAAGCAAACTGTGGCCATTGTGCCTGATATGATACAGGCTTTGGTCCAGGTTTCTTGACACAGGAGTTGATACTTTTATTTATGATCTGACATGGGGAGAGATTCAAAATTACTTCAGATCCCTGTAAAGTTGCTTAGACCTACCTGCAGCTTCCTCACATCTGGTGGCTTCGTTGTTCCATCATCTACAACTGCCCTGCTTGTCTGCAAGCAATGAAGAACAGAAATGACCAATCACCTCTGCTGCTTCAGGATCTAATGATCCTCCAGGCTGCTGCCTGTGGGGAAGTGGCACAGCTGACACAAATGTCCATGGATGCTACTGAAAGAGCCAAAGCCGTGAGCCTCCTTAAACCCATTGGCTTCTGAGAAAAACAGGATTCTACCTAAAGCCTCCAGCGAGGAATCAGGCACCTGGGGGCAGACTCACAACTGATTCCTGCAGCTACAGACAGACCCAGACTGCATCCCCAAACATGTGTACCCTTACTCATTTTCCAGCAGACAGAAGGTTCAAAGACAGATTTTTTTACAGTGAATAGCATTACTTTCCATCATTTATAATTTCTGTGATTAATTTTTCCCAAGGGATAAGTTCAGCAGCTCTCTGTCATGCTACTAAACATTAGTGAGAGCTCTCTGTAAACTTCAAGTGCAGGTCTGGATTCAATCTGTGATGCTTGGTGATGTTCATAGTGATGTGTGTGTGTCACTGCAGTTTCTTGCACATGTATCCCACTGGAATGTAACCCAGGAGCTTTCAGGACTCCCAGCTGTGAGCACTGGCTGGACAACAAACCAGGAGCAGGAAAGAGAAGGAGTTTCTCAATTCTGCACCACTTCAGCTACCCTGACTGTCCTTATCTGCTTCCTTCCTTTCCTTAAATGATGTGGAGTGCCAGGATCAGAAGGCAAAGCATGCTTGAGGGCCAGGGACACATCTGAGTAGCAGAGCACGCAGTGCCAGGGGACAGTTTGCAATCTGCTGGCATGGAATTGGGTTTGGGCACTTCAATCTGTGAATGCTGCCCAGGAGAGCAGGCAGTGGTTGCTAAAGCTGCCAGATGCCTTTCTGTGCTGCTGATCAGGTAAGGAGTGACACCACCAGCATCCCAGAAACACATCTGGCTTCAGAGAGGGAAAAGAGAATTTTTTTTCCCTCTCTTTTTCCCTCTCTTTTTTCCCTCTCAGAACATCTCTCAGTTCCAAGAGGCTGGGAGAGAAGCCTTCTCTCCCCTGTTTATCAGAATTGTCCAATCTTATTCCCAGACCAAAAATGTGTTTGTGCAAGTGTTCTTTCTGAAACTTCTTTTGAACAACAAAGCAAGCAAAATCCCACACATCTCTGAAAGCAGCTAAGATATTTAGTAATTGCACAGGCAGAACTCCCTGTAAGTGATGGTCTCCACTTTCTTAGAATCTCACTGGTTTGGATTTCCCCCATTTTAAAACCATAATTATTGACCAGTACCTGTATTCTGAGGTTCGAATTTGTGCTTTGTGAAGGAGATGCAGTTTTTCTTTGTGGTTTACACTAAAAGTTATTTCCAACTTGCCCTCTGAACTCTAAGGACACCAACCTTCCGCATATGCTCTGCTGATGCTGCCTGCACAGCATTTAGCTTCTTTTTCAGCTCCTCCTTCACCCATTGCTCCAGGAACACGTTATGTTTCATGGTGAACACGTATGTGGCATAGGCAGTCAGTAAAAGGAGGCTTTCCCACCAATCAATGACACTGTCTAGGAAAAACAGGATGAGCATCAGTAAGTCTACAATGTAGAATGTGATGTCTCTAAATAAGGGCCACCATGTCAGGTGGAGTATCTGCCTCGAGAAGAGGGCACAGGTGCCAATGACAAAGAGGATATTAAACACTGCTGAGCCCACAATGGTACCGATGCCGACATTGCTGTGTGAGATGAAGACACCTATGAGGGACGTGAAGAGTTCTGGTGCTGATCCACCTGCTGCCATGAAGGTGGCTCCAGCCACATCTTCAGAGATCTCCAACTTCTCAGTGATCACTCCCAAAGCAGGGACAAAATACTCATCACACACTATGGCCAAGGCCACAAATACATACATCATGCCAAAGATGTGAAGTACAACCCACCCTTGCCTGCGTTCTTCCACACTGAACAGGTCCTGGGGATATTCTCCTTTGGATTCATAGGGTGGTTTTTCATCTGGGGAGCTTTCACTGGCATTTTCTTGCTGTGGTGTTGTGCCCACTGACGTGGTGACGGGCACGGCTGGCTCAGGATCCACATAGATGCAGTGCCTTATTTTGGGGGCTGTGCCATTGCCTCTTACAGCAGTCTTGTTGCTGGGGAGGTCCCTGGAGGTCACTTTGGCAGGGTCCGTGGGTTGGGGGGCTCTGTGTGATGCTGGAAGGGCAGAGGGGCTGGACTGGAGCTGGTAGAAAGAAAGGACCATCACTATGGCAAGCAAGAAAAGGATTCGGTTCCTCTGTAGCCGCCTCCTCCGTGGTAAATGCATTTCCTAAAGGTTCCAAACTCAGAGCCGTGTCCAGAAGCCACTGCAGACTTCACTTGGTCAGCAGTTTGCTGATCTGGAGCATCAGGATTGGAACTGCACAGCACAAAATGGGGAATCCTGCAAAAGAAAATCTGGTGTGAAAAACATAGTACTGCAACTTTCCACCACTAGGGCAGCAACACTTCACTGACTGCTTGTCTATTTTTCTATAAAACGAAATGGACTTAAATGAGTAAAGAGAGATCTAGATCCAGGTTTCAGCCTATTTTTTTAATATGACTGTAGGCTATGCTGATTAATAATGAAAAGTTTGGCTTAAGAGAGTGGAGTTGGCTGAGGCAGTCCAATCCAAGCTGAATTCTGGTTCCACCAAATGCCCATATCCAGGAGCTGTTAAGGACTGCATTGACCAGAGTCCAGTTGTTATTCTGTAATATTATCAATTGGGTCAGTGTGGTGCAGGAGGAGTGGATACAGCTTCTGTCAAGGAACTAGCTTTAAATTGCTAAAAATGATGCTCTGAAGACAAGACCGGCTGTTCAAACCTCCCTCCTAAACCAGTTATTCACCAAAATAACCTCAGGGGGATGGAAACTGGTTTAGATGTGATGCTGCTCCATGGCTTTCCAGTCTTTCACTCCCCAGGAAACCACCCAAGGAAGGGTGAGGTTTTTACTTCAGTTTGAGCAGAGGGTGAGGAGAACGTGGTTCTAGTAAAACTGGGGGTGCTGAGCAGCCATTTGTTTCTATGACTACATCTTTTCAGGGCTTTCTGGAGAAATCAGAACTGGCAAAGTGGAATTGTAATCATACCTTTTATTAGGGGTAATTAGCATATCTTGCATAATTATGTGAACAGCATTTAGAAAGGGAGAGAAATTGTAAATGCCAGAGTGACAGTGCTTGCAGCTATGACAGCACGGGGACAGGGATTTGGGGCTGGACAGAATTCACTCTTAAGCACTGCTTGAATGTTTTACTTTAGAATGACACTCTTATGGATTATTTTTTTCCCCAGAGTGGGCATGTTACATTATTCTTTAGCTGTGAATTATTCTTTAGCTGTGAATCATAGTTTTCTAAACCATTCTCAGATAAGCTCTTCATGCAAGTTATTACACATTCACCCTCTTGCATAACACCCAGGGAAGTTATCAGCCTAAATTTCTTGCAAAACAGGCAATGTTAATTTAAATAGTTGGGAGGATCACTAAGGCAACAGTAAGAGAGGGTCATGGGAATACCTAGATAAATAGATGATACAAGCTTTGCTTTTCATACATAAAAAGAAAATAAACATATATGTGGCAGAACAGCACAAGAGGTATAACAAATTGCACATTAAGAGAAAAGAACTTTCCCTAACAAAGACAGGAGAGCTAAAAGGATGGCAGAGAGAGAACATAGTTATGCACACACTCCTATTTAAATACTGATTTTACTTCTCTCCAAAACAAGCTGCGTAAAAGATGTTTTGCAAACAGAAAGAAATCCAAAGCTAGGATCAGTTCTAAGAGCTCTGCAGCCTTTCACAACTCCTGACCAGAAGAATTCAGAATTGTTTCTCTAGTCTTCTAAGTTTAGGTCAATTCCTGATAAACTCCTTTTCTCACTTCCTGTCTCAGTAACACGAAATCCAAGCAATCACACAAAGCTCCCCAGCCTACCTTCCAAAGGTCTGTCCAGGAGGAAGGGGAGTTCCAGGGGCTGGGTGTAGTGCTGGAAGCTTCTTTGGTACTTAACAGCCAGATGGGAGATGCTGTTGCAGACAGAGGCAGGTGAAAATGATCCCATTTTCAGGATGTCTCCTCTGCTGGCAGAGTCCTAAAACAAGAGCGGGTCAGGTGTGAAGGACATGTTAGTGGAAGAATTCCCAATCCAGTTTAATACCCACAGCCCCTAAGAAGATTAAATAGTATTGTATAGATTTGGGTCTATCTCTGAACCTTTGTCTGCTACCACAGGTTATTCTCAGTGTGAGGACAGGTGATTATCCCCTTCACAAACTCCTGCACTGAAGCACCAGCCATGGACACGGATCAGCCTCACGGCCCTGGCAGCGGGTAAATCACATTTATAAACACTTTTAGACATGGAACACTTTGAGGCATCTCCTGTGGCTGACAGGCCAGATGCCAGACAAGCAGCTCTGCTGGTCTTTGCCAGTATGTGACCACTTTGCAATGCCAGAGCGAGGTTTAAAACTCATTGGCTCTTGGAAAATCCCTCAGGGCCTGTGCCAGGAGCACTGAGGTAGAGGGAAGGAGCAGGGACCTGGGACTCTTCTGTGGCACTGATATGGTGCAGCTCCACAGGGGAAGAAATAACATCCCTGGCCAAGGATTTAACAGCCACAGCAATCTAATCATCAGATTTATTGCAGGGGAATTAGAAATGTATTATTTGATTTGGGTCCCTCATGGCAAGAAGGACATCGAGGTGCTGGAGCATGTCCAGGGAAGGGAATGGAGCTGGGGAAGGGTCTGGAGTGGCTGAGGGAGCTGAGAGAGCTCAGCCTAGAGCAAAGGGGGCTCAGGAGGGACCTTGTGGCTCTGCACAACTCCTGACAGCAGGGGACAGCCGGGGGGGTCGGGCTCTGCCCCAGGGAACAGAGACAGGAGGAGAGGAAATGGCTTCAGGCTGGGCCAGTGGAGGTTTAGGTTGGATATTGGGAAAATGTCTCTTCTGAAAGGCTTGTTCAGCAGTAGAGCAGGGCTGCCCAGGGCAGTGCTGGAGTCCCCATCCCTGGAGGGATTTAAAGCTGGATGGATGTGGCACATGGGGACATGGCTTATGGTGGCCTATGGCACTGCTGGGGCAACAGTGGGACTTGATGATCTTAGAGGGCTTTTCCAGCTAAACTGTGCCTCTCTGATAATTTTAAAGCAAACTGTTGTCTGAACACACAATTTCAGGAGTACATCCCAGTTTTGCACTGCAGTTTATTGCCTCCTGCCCCCCACTCCCAGAGGTACAGAAGCGAGAGAAGGAGGCGCACTGCCCAGCCGGGATGCTTATCCATAAACCCTTCTCCACACATAGCGGTCACTTGTGGTGCTATTTTACATGGGCACCACATTCCCTCAGCACGGCCATCCCACATTCCCGCTTCCCGCGCGGTGTCAGCCCTCACGGACTGCGTGAGGCGCGGCCCGGACGGGAAGGGCCGCGCCATCCGGCCGGACGCGTTCCGTGCCGGACGCATGGCGGCGCGGCGCGCCGGGGTGTGCAGCAGCGTTTCCCTTCCGCCGCCCCGCTCCGTGCCCGCCGCCGCCGCTCAGCCCGGGAGCGCTCCGGGACAGCCCCGCTGAGGGCGAAGGCTCGTAGGGAGGGCTGGATCTCTGCCCGACCGGCAGGGCTGCTCCTTTTCCCTAGCGAGGCTCAGCTCCTGCCGTCTCCAGGCCTTGCGCTGTGCCCGGCTGGAAATGCCGTGCGGTGTTCAGCGTGTATTCCCCTAATCTGTGCTCAGCCCCTCGTTCTGAGGGGGACAAGGGTAATTGTCGCTTCTCCCCGGGGTCAGCGTGAGGGGGCGAGACACGCGGCTCCCCGGGTGCAGCTTTGGTGGTGATTTGTGCCTTCCCTCCCCTGCAGGCAGGTGATCCCGGCCGAGCCCGTCCGCGAGGGCGGCCCAGGAGCTGCTCGCCATGCCCACGGTGGTGGTGATGGACGTGTCGCTGTCCATGACGCGGCCCGTGTCGGTGGAGGGCTCCGAGGAGTACCAGCGCAAGCACCTGGCTGCCCACGGGCTCACCATGCTCTTCGAGCACATGGCCACCAACTACAAGCTGGAGTTCACGGCCTTGGTGGTGTTTTCATCCCTCTGGGAGCTCATGGTGCCTTTCACAAGAGACTACAACACACTCCAGGTAGGGGGTGTGAACACTGAAGCAGTAAAACGTCGACATTTTTAAAAATCAGCCAACTGTGCTACCAAAGCAGGGTGAAGTTGTGTGATTTGGTATCATCCTGTGCACAACGTCTTGAATTAAGTGAGTTTGTCCTCATTTTAAGGGCAGGTGAAATGAGTGATTTCAAAGTTCAATCAGTGATTGAACTTTGCCAATTGCACCTTTGCAGGTGAGCACTGGGGTGTGGCTCATTGACTCTAAAATGGGATGGAGTTAAAAATGGGATGGAGGGTAGGGCTGTGTGATGAAGCTCCCCAAGTGGGTCTGTGGTGTCACTGGTTTTATGTTCAGTTATTGGTTTGCTTTTGATAAACAATGCAGCTGACAGGACCATTTAGAAAGGCTTTGGTAAAGCTGCTGTTGAGAGTGTGTAGATGTCAAAACAGTGCAATAGTGAGAATAAGAGATCTTAGGCCTCACAGATGTGGTGGGAAGTTGTGAGGAGGAAATGGGAAGGAGAAGGTCCAAGAGGGAAGTTTCACATGAGTGCAGTAAGGCACTGGAGCCTGTGAATCCAGTAAAATTTGTACATTTATATCTGACCCTCACATGCAGGGGGAAATGACACATTGCTCTCTCAGGGCACCATGGTTTGGGTTTGTCCATTGGGGAAAGAGATTTTTAAAGCTGTTCTCTGTTGTGTTTGCAGTTTAGCAGGAGGGTGCCAGTGCATCCTCTCTGATTAATTTTCACTTCCTTAAGAGTTCATTTGAGGAACTTTGCAAGCCAGGAGCCCAACCAGGCTCCTTTAGCAAGTTCATCTCACAGCTGCACCCTGATGATGCTGTGTTGAGTGTGAGGTTTTCATTCCTAGGAGAAAAGCTGCTTTATGGATGCAGATGTGAGTTTTGGGTTTGTCACTCTCTCTCTGCCAAAGAGTTTTTGTGAAATAAACTCCTTGTGGTCTCTGCTCTGACACCTGTGAGGATTTTCTCAGCTAAATGTTTCCTGTTAGGTGTTGCCTCAGGTTTTCATTTTTTAAGACATGCAAAGGTGTTTTTTCACTGTTAAAGAGCTGTGTTGATAATATTACAGTTCCTTGAAAGCCAGGAGAGCCTGCTGGGTGTGTCCTGGCAGGGATGCTCCCCCAAC